TCTGAGCAATCAAGCCCAATCCTTGAATAGTTTTGGTTTCATTCTGCATTCTTCACAGCCAAGATGTATCGATACTATCACCAGAACGGCGACCGCCTGCAGACTCGCTCACAGTTCTTTGCGTCGTACCTTTCTTCAAAAACGATTAGGAAATGCAACTGCGGGCAGGTTCGGACAACTCGTCCATCACACGTCTCCCCCCATCGCTTAAACGGCAGAGGGGAGTCCCTGTCTAAGCCCCTGCCCGACGTTTTTTTCTACTTTTTCTTTCTCCATTGACCAACTTCTCACCTGCAACGTCATTATAGGTGGTCCTTACCCGCGAATTCGTTCCTGGATTGTTGCTTTAATACGTTCGTTTCAGGAACTTTTTTGACAGGTCACAAGCCACGTAAAAAGCAAAATATGAAAGAGGCAGGGTACAATCAGAGAAGGTTTCAGACCGGTCCGGCCATTCGCAATGAGGTGCACATCATTGCATTCGTCTTGAGACCATGATCTCTAAACTGTTTTCCATATCTGCCAACCCATGCTCAGAAAGGAGTTACGAGCAGTGGTTACTTCTCCCACTGCGACACCATCCCATCCCATAATGTATCTGATATATGTACGATCGAGCAAGTATCGGCTGCAGATGGGTGGTGGTCTAGTGGACAAATGTCTAGCTTCATAGGCGAGAGGTAGCGGTTTCGACGCCTTGATGCTCGTAACACATCGCTTTTCTTCTCATCATTTGGGCTCACAAAGCACTTTTATTAGGTTATTCCGCTCATTTTCGTAAACCATATTATGGTTGTATTAGATAACTTGAAATGTTATATAGACTGGTAAGATTGCAATGGGTAACGAACACATGTGATATTCTTTAACAAAATGATCAAAACAAAATAGTTTTTCACAATAAGCACAACGAATAAAGTAAAATTCTCCGCACCCTGCATAACCACAGTTTCGCACAAGATCAAATGCGAAGCAGTATTGAAGAGGTTATTCAAAGTCTCTTGGATGTGTGCTTTAGTATCCTGCTGCTGCGTACCGGGAATATGATAAGAACTTTTCGAATCTAGGTGAATAGGACTTGTTCATCGTCAAGGTTATCGATATGATCACCTCACACGTTATGATCTAACCTCCCCTTCAAAAAGCGAGAAAGTGTCGGGTGCAGACCAAACACCACAACTGACGACGGCCTCCAAGTAAATCTGGTTAGAAGTTGTTCATAGTGATAGCTGATTTCTGGTAAATGATAGTTGTAATTAGTGACAATCGATAGAATACAACTGCAACAGGCTAATCATTTCA